CATTACGTGTTGATACCATGGAGACATTTTTAATTTTGTCACATTTTCTCGAATCTTCTAGAATCGTGGGTCTATAAATCTTGCCTTCAAATCCTTCTAAACTTTCCAAAATACTAAAGAAAAATTATCCCTACTAATTCAGTAACAGCAAAAAGCCAGAAATATTTTGAAAAAAAAAAAAAAAAAAAGGAGGGAAAAAGTGTAAAATTTATTTTATAGAAAAAACTGATACAATTTTTGATTGAATATTCCGAGACAATTACATGGGAAAAACTTTTGCTATGAAAAAATTAAAAAGAAGATATTTTTAACTAATTACATAGCTAATTTTGCTTTTGCTAAGAGCCATTTCGTAAATTGTGCTTTATAGCATTATACCTTCTTTATTTTTCAGAGTCCGGATTAACGACTTTTGACTGTATAATAAGTTGCCAAAATGAAATTTTATAATATGACAGCGAAATTTAAAAATGTTTTGTTTTAATGTTATTTTTTAAATATAATTTCAATATATTACCATTATTTGAATGAAATTTATCAATGTTACGGATGTTTAAAAAAAAAAAAATCGTCCAAAAATTCGCAGATCTCGGAATTAAAAATTTTCTATAGAAACTGATCTTAAAATCGCCAAAATGTTGATAAGTCACCAAATTTACAACCGTTTAATAAAAGAATTCACATCTCCAAAAGCGAAAAGTTGTTTAAGAACTCTTTATTAGAAAAAATGAATTTTCGAAATGCTTATATCTCACTTCTTGCTTAGAAACTCGAGTATCCCATCAATTATATTAGAAATAGAAACAAATTATAACCCATAAACCCTTTCAAAAGATAACCATATATGCCAGTGAATCACCGAAAATATTCCTCCAAAATGCTAATTCACACTCAAAATGGCAATTGTAAAAAGAGACAGAAATTTCACATGATTAAAATTAAGGACCTTCTGCTGATTTTGGCCAAAATTAAGGACTTTTAAGGACCAAAAATGGATTCCAAAAAATTTAAGGACTCTTAAGGACCGTACGAAACCTGGTATAGAGAAAGGGGAATTGTTTTACTCCAAATTTAACGCATGCGGGCCACGGGCAGTAATGAACAAATCAAAACTACTGGATCGATTTTAATCATTTTTTCAGTGAGTGACATAGGCTATATATTTTATACCCGTGCGAAGCCAGAGCGGGTCGCTAGTACTAGTATATAACATACAAAGGTCGCCAGCAAAGTTTTCTAATATGGTCCTAATTTTTAAAATCTTTCAGAATATTTTCTACCATATTCTATGCTTTTCTGCATCCTTTGACATCAATTGTCAAACCAACTCTTCCATGTTTCATAAAGATTTGAGCACATTCATTATCCCACACTATTACAAGATCCTTTTTGTTAGAAAACTGTGTCCCTTTTAACTTATTCATCATGCAGTGGAACAACACAAACTCATATGGCACAAAATGTGAATTGTATGGGAAATGCTTCATCACCTGAAACTCAATACTAGACAAATAATGGAATGCAAGATTTGCAGTAGTGTACAAAATGGTTATTATGGTGGAGAAACTGCATATCTACTCTTGAGTATTTCTGGGACAGATGTTTCTGAGAATCTGAATTTGGGAAAGCACCTCTCGATGCACTACTTCACCACGACTGTCTTTTATGTTTCTAGTACTATGCACTCCATATTTTCCCGAAATTGAAGGAGATGGCCACTACTCTCTTCTTCACAAGTCATAACTTTTTATCAACTTTTTTCCACTCATTTTCAAACATCCCACATGGAAAGACACCATAATATTAAATTATTCTAGCTGGAAGTGTTAAAATTAATATTAGTCACAACACTTCCAGCTGGAATTTTGTGGGCATATCATAACAATTAACCTAGTTTTCATCACATGTTACGATACCCTTGACATGGAAATATTTCATTTTTGAAGCTTTTTGTGCATCTTGTGGCACCATGAAACTCTTCTGTATCATCTACCCACAAGCTAAGTTATGGGATACCCATAGAGAGCAGCACACTTTTCTAAAATGAAGGTGATCATGCAGAATAGCATGAATTGCTGATATAGAAATATCCAAATATTCCTCTATTTTGTGATAAACCAGCACCTCTTGCTTCAAGCATCTTTTTAACAGCAGCAATATTCTCCTTTGCGATAGACTAGGCTGGGTTTTCAGATTCTGAAGTGTCTTACAGGCTAAAATTCCTTTTCTATGTCTCCTAGTATTACATGAATTTTGCAGCCCAATGAGGAAAAACAATCTTTCACCACAGCAGACGTTTTCATCAAGCTCTGATCAATATTTATATTGCAAGCAAAGTTGTAATGAAAGCTCTGTATTATGTTTTTGATTGGCATGACAATGGGAATACTTCTCATGGGTCAGCAAAATAATAAGCTCAATCTGCCTTTTACAATGCAGGTTAGAATATATCTCAACCTATATGATTTCTCCCTACTTGAAATCATCATTGATGCATACTGCTAAACCTTCGTAGTCAGCATTTTGTAATATAATCCAAACAGTGCTCTTTTTAAAGATTGTACATATAAAATATTAGGACACACAGTATCTGTTCATAAACGGCTATTCTCTCCTGTTCGTTCACCCTTCTTTCAGTTGTCTTCTGCATTTCAAGAGGTTAATGCGAGTCTGAAGATTTACTATTTGTATTCCAGAAATACGCGCGACCGTTGAAGTAAGTTTTTGTTATATCTAATTTCCTTTTTTATTATAGAAAATATTTATTCTTTTGCATCTAAATCTTATGATTTTGTATAATTTGTGTGCATAATTACTTTTAATGATAAACTAGAAGCACTGTATACGTCACATACGCATGACCATGTTTAATATTTTTGTTCTTTTCTTTTGAGTTATGGCGAATAAAAGTAAAATGCTCGACAAGAATGATCCAAAGGATCTTGAGATTATAAGAAATTTGCTTTTATGTGACAGTGATGAAGATGAGGACATTATTTTAGATGAAAGCATTACAGATGAAGAAGAATGAATTTCAGAAAAAGGTGATTCAGATTCGGAGATAAGTGCAGAGAGCAATTCTGAAGAGGGAAATAATGATGATAATTCTTCCAAAGTGTACATAGCTTATCAAATGAAAAACATAAAAGTTAAATATATGGCATGGCATAAAAAAAAACTAAACGAGCGCCTCATAACATATGTGTTCGTGTTTCTGGAGTTATCGGTGAAGCTAAATATCTAACAGATATTTTGGATATATGGAAATGCCTCTTTACTGATAGTTTGATAGAAATCATCGCTGAAGATACGAATAAGTTTATTTCTTCTGTGAAGTCTAATTATTCTCGTATAAGGGACAGCAGAGAAACGGATGGAGCAGAAATAAACTCTTTTGGGCTTACTTTACTTAGCTGGTATTTATCATGGTAACAGAGTTCGGGAATCTTGAGGAACTGTGGAGAATGGAGGAATTTAAAGTAGTAATGAACTTGAAGAGATTTTTGTTTCTACTAAGAGCTTTACGGCTTGATGACATAAACACAGTAACAGAACGAAGACCATTTGGCTCCAATAAGAAACATTTTTTAATAGTTTGTCTCTAATTGCCAGAAGTGCTATTCACTTGGAGAGAATGTCACAACCGATGAGAAATCAGAAAGATTCTGAGGAAGATGTGGTTTCACTCAATACATTTCCAAAAGACCGAACAAATATGGCATAAAAATTTATGCCATGGTAGACACTCGTATGTTTTACATATAAAATATGGACATTTAATGCTGGAGCACAGCCAGATGGTATTTTTACGTAAGCAACAAACCACAAGATGTTGTAAAAAGGTTGACAGAACCTATTGATAACACTGGAAGAATAACCACAGACAACTGGTTTTCAAGTTTTGAGTTAGTACGAGAAATAGATGAAAAAAATTGTCATTTGTAGGTACTTTGAAAAACAATAAACCTCAAATTCCTCCAAAATATTGACTTCAAATCTTCATGATGACATAGCAACAGATGAAAATACCCAAGACCAAAAAAAGCCCGAAATTATCACATTTTACAATCCTACCAAAGAAGGCATGGATACAGTGGATAAACTGTGTGCTTCCTACAATGTTGTCAGGAACACCAGGCGTTGGCCTCTTGTAGTTTTCTTATCTATGCTGAATATAGCAGCAATCAACAGCTACATAATTCATTCAACGAATAATAGTGAAAAATTACTTTGAAGGTAATATCTGCAAAAGCTAGCAAATGCTCTTGTGAAGGAAAACTTTGAAAGAAGAAGCCCTAACTCTCTTCAAAGTGAGCTGAAATTTAAATTGTTGAAACGAAAAGCAAAAATTAGCTGTTGTTGAAAAAATGACTTCAGGGGAAAAAAGATGCAAACCCTGCCAAAATGACAAGCATACTAGGATTACGAGGTTCAGCTGTGAAATTTGTTTAAAATTCATTTGTCTAGAGCGCTGTAAACATATTTGTTCAGACTGCACCGATGCAATGAAGTGACTATGAAATTGATTTGTTATGTAATATTTAATGTGTTTTTTCACTTACTGATTAAAAATATAAAAGTTCAGTTGAAATATTGGCAGTTTAATTTTGTTTTACTTTCAAGTTAGTTTGGTAAATCTTTAGTCCATTTTATATTGTTTTTTTGATTTATACTTATTTTATTTTCCTTAATTTAAAGTTAATATTGTTTAACTCAATTGTACTTATTAACATTTAACTATTTACAAACTAATTTAAATATTTTTGCTCTGGAAAATTTATTTTTTATAATAGCGTATCTAAGAAATATGCGCGACCTTTCTTGTTGGTGCAGAAGGCGCGCCCGCTGGAAGGTTAAAATTGTAGAAACACAAGAACACTAACAAAACATTTTAGCATCTATTGAAGAAAACTAGACCCTTTGACAGCTGCTACAAAATAAATAGAGCTATGAGGTTTCAGAAAAATACAAATATAATCGTAATAATATTTTCCGTTTACCTCAGCATCACACTTGCATTCTTCTAAGGCTATTAAAGCAAAAGCTGTCATTGGTGTTTTCCCTTGAACACCTCCCTAAAAATACACATTTAAATGTTACATAAAATAATCATAAACAATTCTTATGCCAAATATGCTGATAATTTCAAGAAATGAAAATATTTTACAAAGGTAAAACAAAAATGGCAACTTTATCATGCAACATAGATCCATATTAATGCGGATTATAAAAACTAAAATACTTATCACGTTATAAGTGAATCAACATTATACTTACTTTATCAAGGTCATACCCATAAACAGCCAATGAATATGTAGTAAGTCAGAAATCAGTTCTCAAAAATATTGATAGGAATGTGAGGTTGGGTTACAGCAACGGGGTTGGCAACATGATTTTGGATTTGATTCAATTTCATATATTCCCCCATTTTCTAAAGTTCTCTATTTCTAATATTGTTAAAGCAATATGCATATTGTTCCCTAAATCAGTACAGAGATTCCTTTGAATGAAATTGGTCTGTAATAATAGTTAAATGAAATGAATGATGAATTTAAATTATCTATACAAAGCTTGATTTTAAGCCCCATGTTAATAAATAATTAGTTTATTTAATTATTTTTAATAATTCAGAGCTGAAAATTAATTTTGAAGTGTAACAGGAAGAACTATACGTTAAGAGAAGAATTTAAAATTTTCTGCAAAGGGAATTTGTACTTCATTGTTAAAATACTGTTAAAATATATTAATATTAATGATAGCACTAAAAGAAATATAACTTATTTCATTATTGAATATTTTACATAGTACCTGGAACAACTAATAAATCCTTATTTAAACCAATTATTTATTAAAACTGTAATTGTTCATGATGAATAATAGAAAAATCATAAGAGCTCTTAAAATGCATTAACCAAATATAAAATGATTTCCAAGTTCTCAACAGAAATAAAAATACTATGGAACTGTATCACAATCTAATTTGGCTTTCTATTAATACCATTATGTATGTTATACAAATTATTAAACAAATATAGTCATAATAATAAATCAATTGAAAAGTGGGGGAAAATAGTGAAATCGGAGAAAGTTCATTGTAAAAACTATCAGTGCCTACCATCATGTCAAGATGATACATAGGATGGCTTTCAATGTAAGATCCATCAGGTTGCTGATCGTCAATAAGCCACTTGATGCCAGAGCACAACACATTTTCATCAATATGTATCAATTCATTTGCTTGGCAAAATACTTTCATAACAAAGGCTGTCAACCTGAAAAATAAATCCATCTTCTTTTATGTGATTAAATGATATATATTAAAATATTAAACTAAATGCAGAAATCAAGTAAAAAAAAACATTTTTTAAATCATCAGATGAAACTACTATGCTTTCCAGCATGATTCAGCCCATGAAGTGGATGAAAGGCTGGATTTAACTGATTTCTTAAGTGTATTTCTGACTCTTTTTTTTTTTTTTTTTTTTTTTTTTTTTTTTTTTTTTTTTTTTGTTTTTTTTTTTTTTTTTTTTTTTTTTTTTTTTTTTTTTTTTTTTTTTTTTTTTTTTTTTTTTTTTTTTTTCCCCTCTCCCACATAAGTAAAATACACCAAGAGAGACATCACATTCTCATACAGCATGATCATTACATTCCCTAAAATGCAGTATTATGCAAATTCAGATGATATGAGATGGGAGAACTAAATTAAAAGTTTCCAAAAAATCATTTTTAACTATTAGAAATCACATTAAAAATCATATCAATATTTAAAATCATGAATAATAAATGAAGAAATTTTACAACAGTCTACATAATGCATGTTAATTTTCTTTTTTCTCAATGCTAAGCCCCCACCCACCCAAAACCCCTGTTTTCTAGCAAAATATAATCATCTGAATTCTTTTCTGTGGCATCTTGATTTTCAAATTCTCCTTTTTCTAAAAATCTGATTATTTATGTGTTTATATACGTGGGATATTAACTTCCTAGTCTAAAAATTTTCTCGTGCACTATGCAGTCAAACTGTTTACTGCATGAGTGTAAAATGATGGAACTCTCGCCACTTTGTTTTTTGAAAGTGAGATGAATGATGTCTTATTAAGAAGTTGTATATGATTTAATGTTTCCTTAAATTTGTTTTGTTTCAAAAAGAGTTGAGACTTGCCTAAGACAAAAACACACAAAAATAGTGCCAAAATCAGGATTAAAAATATTATTGTTTAAGAACAGCACTTTCGTATTTCACTGCTTGTTGTGCTTATGAATTGTGATATTCAAATATGGAATTAAATGTTATATATTTCTGATGCAAGTAAGTCAACTTTACAATTTTGAATTTTGTTATATATTACAACATGAAATTAGTAAATATAAAAGAAAAAGAAGCTGCTTTAAAAAATGAAAAAGTAGGGAATGTTAAGTTACTTCATAAATTTAAAATTCATCATGAAGTCGACCGTCACAACCGAAAGCGGCTCAGGGATTTTAGTGGTTTTACTTTTAAACTAGAAGATGACGACTTTTCAAAACAAAGCATGCTGAAGAAAATTTTTCTTTAAATGAAGTACTTACAGTTTCAAATGTATAAAGTATATCTTGTGATGGTTCAAAAACAGAAATAATTAAAAGGATTACAAGTTATTTATGAGATTTAAGAATTTTACAAAACAACGTAATTCTAGATGAGGATGATATTATATCTGATACACTTGAAAATTATGCAACTCAAGGTAATAATAATTCCTATGATATTCAGAATGATAAGTCATCAGTTCAGTTTCCATTTTCACAGTTTTCAAATGCGTATATAAATTTTAATGACATTGAAAGTTTAATTTCTAAATTTGATGGTAATACATATAATTCGTTTGACAAATTAATTGAAAACTTTGAGGATGTATCTAATTTGTTAAAACTAAATACCGTATTTATGCGAATCTAATGCGCATCCCCATTTTAAAACTTTAAATAATAAAAAAATGTTTGTCGGCGAATGTAATGCGCATCAATGGTATGAGGAATTTATTGAATCTTATTTTATACAAATATGGATTTGTATATAAACTATCAATCAATGGTATGATAATTTTATTTAAATTTAGATACCATATTTTATACAACAATGGATTTATACATTGTTGTATAAAATGTATTTGTTTCATAACAATAGTAATAGCAGAGCAGAACATAGAATTAACCTATTAGTGGGCTATTGTTATGTGAAACAATTATTGTTAATTACCACTACTGTATATATGGTACCTATCGTAAAATATGAACATGAAATAAATCGTAACATTTCTATCTAGCTAACAGTTTCTACAATCAGTGATTAATAGTAAACGTCTTTATTCACTAATGTTTTCATCACTGGAATCCTCGCAGCTCTCTTCGTCAGAAGCAGATTCATTTCTTCTTTCCTCATCCTCGGCGTTCCAGAGCACGTCATCGTCACTGCCATTCAATGAATTTGAAATGCAGCATTTCTTGAAAGATTTCACAATCATTGGTGCTTCGATGCTTTTCCAGGCAGCAGAAACCCAGTGTGCAACAATGTGCGGTGCAGCACGCTTAATTTTTCCTGTCGGGGTCAATACACGGTTTGGCTCACAAAACCATTTTTCGTACTCCGCCTGAACGTGACTCTTAACAGGTTTATTTATAATAACGTCCAGGGGTTGTAACACAGACGTCATCCCTCCAGGAATGATAACAAGATCACTGCCTAGGCTGTGCATCTTCTTTTTACGTCGTCGGTGAGATGACCACGAAATGCGTCCAGACAAAGCATTGATGGTGGATTGAAGAGCCCACCGGGACGGCGTTTCCCATACATTTCGGAGCCAATCAAGCATTAATGATTCCGTCATCCACCCCTTCTTTTGGTTTCGAATCAGGACATCATCTGGGAACGGTTTTTCATTCTTAGGGGTTTTAGGGCATGTTTTCCGTTTGAAGATTAAGAAAGGGGGAAGTTTGCACCCGTCTGCTGTTATTGCCAGCATCACTGTTACGCGTTGTTTTTCACATCCCGAAGTTTTAATGATAACTTCCTTAGTCCCCTTCTCCGTAATGGTGTAGTTACGAGGCATATCAAACCAAATTGCCGTCTCGTCAGCGTTGCCAATTTGCCCCATTGAAAAATTCTTTTCCTTCCGAAGTGTGATGACATACCGCTGAAATGTTAGTAGTTTTCCCTCAAAATCTGCAGGAAGCTTTTGGCATATTGTTGTACGGCGTCTTAGAGATAAGCCCATCCGCTTCATAAACCGATCCATCCATCCACGGCTAGCCTTAAACTCTTGTTTCGGTATTCCAAGAACTTCAGCCTCCTCTTTTGCTTTATTTCTTATGGTGTCACTAGTCACAGGTTGTTCATTTTTCTTCCTTTCACGTACAAATTCCAAAACTTTTTCTTCAATTTTAGGGTGTCTTCCTTTGCGAGAGCCAGTGAATTTCTTTCTACTAGCTTTAGTTGCAAACAGTGCCAATTTCTGTTGCCGCCACAAGCGAACACTGCTCTCAGCTACGTTGAACTCTCCCCTGCCTTTCTATTGCCATTTTTTTTCAGCATAAAGAATTACTTTATGTTTGAAAGTAGCGTCATATGACATTCTCCTCTGTTTGCCCTCCCTTTCGTGACTACATACTCTGCAGTTTGTATCCTCTATGCAATAATGTGTCAACGATAAATGTAATGGTAAATCTAGTCGACAAATACAGTAATCCATTGTTACGATTTAAATTTGGTTGACGTCATCGGCGAACTATGCACTCGAATCTAATGTGCCATCGAATCTAATGTGCACCCCAATTTTGAATATTACATTTGGCCAAAAACGATGCGCATTACATTCGCGTAAATACGGTAAGTTACAGAAACTGATAATCACCAAAAGATCTTTAACTGGTAAAACAAAATTATTCATTGAAAGCGAGCAAAATTTAATTTGTGGAATGAATTTAAGGCTTTATTAGTAAATGGATATGGTGTTCAATATGCTCAGTTACATGAATTATTATCAAAACGTAAAATGCAAGAAAAGTATCTCTATGTGGATATTTTTTGGTAATTGAAAATATATGCTCCAAAGGTAATATTGAAAATGCCACTTTAATTGGATACCTTATTTACGGTATAAATGATTCTGCATTAAATAAGTCTATTCTTTACAGTTCTAAAACTTTGTCAGAATTTCAGGAAAAATTTAAGACATGAAAAAATTAAATCAGATAATGATGAAAATAAATCCATTAAGCTATTAAGCCTATGTTGTGCCTTAAGGAACAATGAAAGTAAATGCTGTTATTGGCAATGAATTGCTTTCGCAAATGGAAATTATTATAAACAAGAATGGGATATCTATGAAAATAGTAGAAGACGAAACTAGATTGAATTTAACGTATATAAATGTCGATCAAGAAAATGAGTAATTTGCTAATTAATTAATATTAATAAAGTACACAGGTTGAAAGTAAAACAATTGAAAGTTATGTTCCTAATAAAACTGAAAACCCTGCAGAAGAAACAGATGTAGATGAAGATGAATAAAAGAGGAGTTTGAAGAAGAAAAAATGTTAAACGTGGAAAAGGAAAACTGCAAAAAGTAGAGGAAGGGAAGAAGAAAAAATCCATTAATGAAAGTTCTGGAAATCAAACAGAGTAATGAAAAAATTAATGATTCCAAAAAACCCACTTCAGCTCCAAAGAACTCTAGAAAAAGAAATACTTGAGAATCTCAGAAATTGGTTGAAGATAATGCTGGTGAAACAAAAATATCAACAGTAAAAAAGAGTAAACAAAAGATAAACTTCAAGCAGAAGAATTGGACTCTGGTATGTCTGAAAAACCTAAAGATAGACAAGCCAAAGGAAAATATACTAATATAGAAATGCATATTATTTTAAAAAATGATCAACATATTTATTTGAGATGCAGACATTTGCCAATTATAGATAAAGAAAGTGTCCAACTAAAACAGGAAAAATTCAATATGTTAAATTGAAAGTATAAGAAAAGCTATCTTTAGCAAAAGCTCGTATGAGAAAAATGATGGAGAATACATTATCTGATAAAAAAACCGAACTGGAGAGAAAAATGTGTACCACATGAAAAATTTTGTCATTTGCAAGAAATTTTTGAAGCCGATGATTGGAAATATTATGGAGATATATGAAATGCCACTGCTGCTCCAACGCCATCTACTGTAACTTCTAACTTAAGAATCAACTGAGCTTGAAACAAGGTCATATAAGAGGCACATATCTTCCTTTG